GAAGACATAAACTATATAGCTTGATATAGCTATTGTACCACTACTATTCCTGTTTATAGACATGTACACACACACATGTACACACTAAATATACATATGTATAGATATACATACATATATACCTGCACATGTCCATACACATGGAAGGTCCATTATGCATGAATTTGAAATTGAAAACTGTCATATTGACAGTTTACTTTATTTATATAGCACTTATCATGTTTAAACTTTCCTTTTAAGCTAATGTTAGCTTAAGCAGCTAATCAGCTATAATTGAGAAGATACTTCATCATGTGATTTTTTATGTATTTATTTGTTTTCAGTTATGCATTACGTTAGGTTTTTTGTTATTTTTTTTATATAATAACAGTTTATATTCTTATTATTTTATTATGAGTTTTGTCAATAACGTTACAAGGAAAACAGGTTTGGTAGCTACTCCGCTGCTAGCTACATTTATTGCAAATTTTTAGTTGTAAACTTATTGATACTGCTCAGCCTTAGCATAGTTGGGTGTTATCAAAAGTGTTTCAGAGTGTCTAAGAGCCCCAATATCTTTTAAATATTGAAACTTATGATCACCTTTTAGATTAGATTTGCTTTTATTACCTGTAACCAGGGCTGCTCAATTAGGGCGAAAAAAAAAATAAAAGAAAGGAAAAACTATGCAATTTCTTTTCTCAATTATCTTATTTCATAATTGTTGGAAACCATAATTATAACTGATTTAAAATTTGAAAACATTTTATAGGCCTTTCTAGAACCTAGATCTGGTTATAGCCTTCTCTTTCTTTCTTTTCTTTTCTCATCTTTTGCAGTCCTCCAGCTGTCAGCCAAACAGCAATGACTTTGCTAATTTCCTCCCAAAAAACAGGTGTTTATTTGCAGAGGCCTCGCTTGTAAATGTAATGTCATCAACCATCAACAATTTCATCTTTTTTTATTCTAAGTCTCTAAATTTGTACCTCAAAAGTGGATTATTTGAGGCTTCAGAGCTTGACCACGTCGACAAACAGCATGATGGTTAACACTACATGAGTGAGCATTTTTAGGTGAAATGTCCTTTCTTTAGGAAAACTGGACCACAGTGAATTTACTTTATGGCTTAGAGTGTTTTGTTTAAATATAGATACTGCACAGCCCTACCATTTAACCCTGGCTATAAAAGCACTGCACAACTGTATTTGGTATCGTGTTTCCAAACAAAGTCAAAACAAAGAAAAAGGAATTTATTTGACTCTGGATTTTGGGCCTTTGCATAGTGCGCTGTAGAAAGTCATAGAAATAAACAAAGAACCTTTTTTTGTGTGTGTAAACGATAACTCTTACAGTAGCACATGAGAGCAGGGGCCCTGACGAAAGGCAAGGAAATAGCTGAAACTTATGATTCACTTCACCCAGGCTGTCGGCCAACCACGCACCATGCAAAAATAAACATAGGACTCCACAGCAGGTTCCCAGATAGTGTTTACTTTGGGGAAATGACAACTGGTTTTGAAACATCACTGCACTTAAGTTTGATTTATAAGAAGCTGGAGCAGATTCTGAATCAATCTCCTGAGACTGATATGACTAGGTACTGCATGTCATATAAAGACAGTGGCACTAAAGCACACCTGAAGGCTGAGAATGCTGTTGAATTACTACATTTCACCCTCTCAGATGGATACTAGCTTAAATCAAATGATTCTGTATATCATGTAGCTTCCTCCATTTCCACAGGTTCCACAGACACATTCAGAAATTTCAAATTCTCCTATAATTCAGTCCTGGACAAATATTAAATACATAAAGTAAAGAAGAAGTCACTTTAGTGTATTACAATAAAGATCTAAATGTTTTTAATCTCTGCACAACCGTTTCCATGTCAGTTATGTGGCGTATGGCTGCTAATGATGGCTGTTTAAAAGTTGTTAGAGCAGTGATTCCCCAAGTGTGGTCTGTCGGCCCCTTGTGGGCGATGAAGGTACTGCACTTTAAAATTACAGATTATTGTTTTAATGGAGATTCCCAAATAAGTGAATTGATAAAAACACAAAGAAGAAAGTGCTTCATTTTCAGCTCGGGGGTGATCAGAGAAAGGTTTTGTTGGGTACCATGAAGTTTTCAGACTTTAAAATGGGCCACAGTGACCAGTGGGCTTAATGCTGTCTCCTCCCCTTTAACAAAAAAACCCAAACTTGACTAAAGTACACCCAGTACACTTATTTGTGTGTCTTGTAGTAGTACACTTAAAGGTTTGATCATATAAAGTCTATCACCAGTTAGAATAATTGATCATTCTCATGGTAATGGCCTGATAACGATATAGGAAAGACAACGTGAAAAAGTCATATTTGTTTCGTATCCAGTTTGAGCTTCTGCCATACTGGAAGAGATGCCTGCTAAGGCTAAAGTTGTCCTTATTCCAGGCCATGGGATATCAAAAGCATGAGGACAACATGTGCAATCACTTTATACATTATTTATAGGTTATATTGGCTGTAGTCTAATTTAAAGTCTGCAAGTTAAGAACCAGCATAACCATGTATAATATCTACAAAACTTAAAAAGAGGTTATACACACACAATAATATTATATTGAAGCACAGTACGTATCACTCCGCGAGGCTCCGCCTACGATAGCCGTAATGTTCCGACAATCCATCCAGCAGTGCAGCTTCTAGCTTAGCAAAGTCGTACTGAAACATTTGACAGATTTTCGAGCGCCGTGTACATAAAATCGTTTCGAGGTCAGTAAACACAACCAGAATTCATACATAAGGCACACGGGATTATAAGGGGCACTGTCGATTTTCAGAAAAATCAAAGGATTGATTTTAAGTGTGCCATATTTTCCAAACAACACGGT